GCACCCCCGCTTCTTTCTCCCCCCCCCCCCCAGCACCTAAGCTTCACAGCCGAAAACAAGAGGTTAGGACAAACTTTCACTATTCCTGAAAATGCTGAAGGTCATCACATGGAATAGCTTAATGTTTCTGTTCAGTGTTTTGGAAATGAAAGAAAATATATTTGCAGCATCCAATAAAATTGTCTTTAAGCTACTAGAAGAGAATCTGTCTGAGGAACAAGATGGCATTAAATCATCATCAAACATAGCAATTCAAAAAGCAATTCTGAATCTGTGCAGGTACAGTTACCAAAGGGACTGACATCCACTTTGTTCGTAACCACCACATGCTCTTCACCCCTTTCTCCTCCCTTTTTTAAGAAAACCGTATTTCTTTGCAAACACCAGTAGAAGCATTGGGATACATCAAATTGGGACCTACGTTAATAAGACAAGGTAGGAGGCCATATAGGGTCTGACCAAGGAAGTGTCTGTCTAGCAGAAGACTTCGTCTACAAGAAGAGCCATGAGCAGACAAGGGAGAACCAGCCAACACTTCCCTCAACTGCCCTCCCAACTTCCACTTTTTTCCTGTTTCAGAGATGGCGTGAGACAGTTTCTACTTTTAGCAATTTTTTAAGGGCTTACCCTGTCTATTCTTGAGCCCAGGTACATTTTCAGCACCTCCAACATCCTCTTGCAAGGAGTCCCACACATCTACTATTCACGATATAAGAAACCCTCAACCTTTCGCTTTGCAACTCCCTTTTACTAACTTAATTTGAAGCTTCCAGCTCTGGAAATCTGAACACACAATTCAGCTCTCTTGCTGTCAGCCTCCAGATGAGGAGATCTGGTGTTTGTACTTCAGTTACTGCTGGTGGACAACTGAGTTGGTGTAATACCCAAGTCAGCCAGCCTGCTCCAGGCTGGAAGCACTGCCATTCTTGGGAGGGTAACTCAGAGCAAAGCAGTACAGCCCAAACCAAAGCAGTGCCGCAGTGACTTCCCCCCATACATCGGGTACCAAAATGCAAAGTCAACAGGAATTGAATGGCCTGCACCTAAGCTTTGGCTGCCAGAATGAAGGCTGTTGCCTTCAGCTTCTGCCCCTCTGTACCCACCACAGGCCAGGAAATCTTCATGCCCTATCACCTTCCAGCCTTACACATGAAAGGCACAAAATCATTCTTATTTCCCACAGAAGGGATGGAGGCTATCCCAGCCATTGCGTTTGCATCACGCTAACCTTAGTCCTCTTGAAATCAAGAGGCACACTGCGATAACAAGGGTCTGAAAAACAAAACTTACTTCCATTTTGACAGAGATCACATTATTTTTAGCTTCATTTTGCTGGTTAGATTTTTGTTATGCCCAATACTGATGTGAAAGCCATACAAGTCTACGTGAACTTCAGGTTAATAAATCACAAAGGATTATAAAAAAGCCACTAAAAGCCTCGGACATGCAAATGTCATACAATTATTTTTCAAAAAATACCAACATATTTTGAATAGCGCCAGTGTTTTTGCCAAATATGACTATTCTGCTCTCACACTGTGCTGTCTTGAAACAGAGGAACGTGACAAGGCATTCCAGCCCCAGCTCAGTCTTGCAGAATTTCAGTTATGCATACTCACAAGGCAAGAACTGCACATGCTATTAAATGCAATTAAGGCTACACTGTTAAAATACTGTCAGAGAAAAATAAAGGTTCCTATGGCAACATTAACTCAATTGCTCTGCATATAAGCTATTTGTTCCACTTGTATTATTTTTGTCCAAAAGGTAATTTCAGTCTGGTAACGCTATTAAACAAGCATTTAAAATACAAAGAATGAACATTGGCTACCAGCTTTAATTGCTGCAGGGACTCTCTCCTTCTTATTTCCTGACATTTTAAACAAAGGAATTCTTCAACATGTATTATTTTTGTCCAAAAGGTAATTTCAGTCTGGTAACGCTATTAAACAAGCATTTAAAATACAAAGAATGAACATTGGCTACCAGCTTTAATTGCTGCAGGGACTCTCTCCTTATTTCCTGACATTTTAAACAAAGGAAATCTTCAACATGCTAGAATTTTCTCCTCACTGTCCTCCCCCCTGCACACATACACCCTTTCAATGAGACAGGATAAAAATAGTTCAAGGTGGGGGTTTTGGGCTTTTTGTTTGTTTGTTTTATTGTTATTTTTCTATAGATCTGATTGGAAACATATTGGTGTAATCCAGAAAGGTATTATTTTTCTGTGGAGAAAAATCACTTGTGTGGTCAAATGATTTCAGAACTCGTCAAGAGACTTGGAAATATGAAAGAAGTGTATGATCTTCCCAGCACGAAGACAGAAACTCTGGACAGACAGAATACTAAATATCCAGGTATCCCTATGCATGCATCCCTTCAATTATATAAGAAACCGTAGGTCCATAAGGCCAGAGCTGGAAGGGGTGACAAGTTGAACATGAAAGTCTGACCAGGCTGACAAAGCAGCTGCATGCCTGCAGAACCCACTTTCAACCTCTGCAGCCCTACTTTTCCTTCCTACAGCTGTGCATTGGATTCATCTTAGGTAAAACTTACAGAATGGTACATTTTTCTGGTGGACTGTTTCTGCAAACATTGGAGCTCTGTGTATTCAAATCTCCATATTACAACACTACATTTGGCTGGGGTATTACTATGCTACTTGCCTAAAAGTTCATGTAAAACTTGAGCTTCAGAAGGATTTCAGCTAACAGATCCGTGACTATAAGGGACTTGCTCTTCCAAAGCTAAATGCAGTTATTCAGATTCATCAGGCATTCCTTTCCAGCTGCTAGATTTTGTTCTATTTTTCTATGTTTAGTTTTAAAGCAAATAAAAACCCCCACTTTCATTTGTTCTCCACAGAGCAAAATATACAGACTGATAAAGAACTCTGATAGCCAACTGTGATCAGCTAGACTGAGTGCTCCTTAAGTTTGCAGTTACAAAGGGGTTTTATTAGGCAGAAAAGTTGGCTTGGAAACCTCACCAGCCCTCTCATCCTTCCTTTTTGCTGGAATAAATCCATGCCATAGATCAACACTAAACGGGCTGCTTAAATTAGCCAGGTTATTAAAAAAAAAAAAAAAAAATCATCACAAAAACCCTTTCCCTTGTTTGAAGAGAATTTTTGACAAAGATAATTACAAGTACCCCATTTATAAATATGGCCTCTCAAGAAAGTTGTCTCAAGGATGCAGTGAACCACATTGCTAGGGTGCAAAGCAGCAGCAAGTCATCTCTGCTGGCAAATAAAGTACTAGAAGAATGTCATTTGATAGTATGTCACTATAAATCATGTGTTCCCATGCTTTGTCATTCTCAGCTTGCTTCTCCAAACCTTTCCCGATTCTGGGAGGATCCTTTGAAACCGAACACTGGAGCTGGATAGAGTATTTCCATGGCAGCTGCGGCAGTGCATTACCTCCCATCTGATTAACTCTGGGTCACATTTCTTCTCTTGGCTACAGCATCGCATCAAGACTTTCAGATAATTAAACACCATATCCTTGCATTATTTTCTACAGTCACCACCACTCGGAAAAAAGTTGCCCTTCCCATTAACATCATCTGGAGCCTTTTTTATCAGAGGAGCAGCTGTATAGCCCACCACTATGCAATGTGTATTGTTAATAGTTGGACATTGCCACAATACTTACTTTGCAAACTGACATTTTTTTAACTGACTTTAAAAAAAAAGTTAAAGAGCATTAAAAAGGAAAGCAAGCATATTTAAAAGCCCAACTGATTTTCAATGACAGGCTGGTGTACTATTATTTCTAAACTGGGATCTCATTTACTGAAATGAAGAGTTACTGGTGTTTCACCTTCTAAAAGAACACCGAACAGGAGTCATCCTGCGACTGCACATTTAGTAAGAGCGAACAACTCTGCAATTTCGGACAGAGATCTCTTCCAGTATAGTATTTTGCTTAGCAAGAAGTCACTGTGGCTTGCTTAACCTGAAAAGAGTGGAACCAGGGCACTGAAAGCACTGTTATCAGCAGCTTTCAGAATTAGTGTTCAGAAAAGCAGCTGCTTCAGATCTAATTGACTCTTCTTTGTC